TAACGTAACGTAACTTACGTACGTACGTAGTAGTAGTACGTAGTAGTTAGTTAGTTATTACGTTACTTACTTTACTTTACGTTTACGTTACGTTACGTAGTACGTACGTACGTACGTACGTACGTTAACGTAACGTAACGTAAGTAAAGTAAACGAAACGAAACGTAACGTAACGTAACGTAACGTAACGTAACGAGAGAGAGAGAGAGAGAGAGAGAGAGAGAGAGTGGTAAAATAGAAATGAAGTTATGAGAAAAACACAAAATTACTTGAAACTGTAAATGGAATGACAATGTATAACTTATTTTGTGCAAACATCTCATTTACCCATATCCTTTTTACATTTGAATTGCGGTAGGCATGGGATTTTCTTAATTTCACAACTCGGACTTCCCCTAAATATATATAAAAAAAGATTTCATACAACAATAAAACATCAATAGCAATTATGTGCGAATTAAGCTAGATGCAGTTAGAGGCACTAGTGGGACCAACCATAAATTGAATTTGGGTACCTCCAAACTGTAAACATAGACATCTAACCTTGAATAAACACTATACTTGACAGTGGGCAGGTTTCTTATATGAGTAGAAACTTCCAAAGCAAACATGCCCATATCTGTTACTTCAATCTAGTTATGATCCATTTTAAGCAAATTAAAAGCTCATCTACAAACAGGCTGATATTACAGAAAATGATTCAAATCTTAAAGTTGCACTACTGAATGGTAAGGGAACAAAATTGAAAGGGAATTTTTAACAGTTGCCAGGAGTCTTGAGGTTTGAAGTCAATTTCAAGCAATTGGCTGGTCACCCACAGTGAAGATTTACACCTCAGACATGCCACCTCCATGGTCAGTTGGGGTCCTGCACATAAAAGTGAAAACAGAGTTCTTTGAAAAATCTTCAATTTTCTCTTTGTATTTCAGCTATACAACTCGAGACCTCCTGATAAACTCCTAACGATGTCTTCTAAGACATTTGATCTCATCTAGTTTAGCCTGCATCCCATGTTCCATGGATGAATGGCACCTCGTAAGAAAGGTAACTACTCAATATTATTACTAGAGTCTATAGAAGAGAATAAGATAAGGTCTCTAAAGATTGCATTATAATAGAAGACTCACTTGTGATCAGATGGATTTGGCATAACTTCATAAACAATGGTTGCAACAACATCCCTCTTCAACTGTTAGAAGACATTCAAGCACGTACAATCGGTGAAAGAGAAAAAGGAAAAAGCTGTACATGAAAACCAAATTATACATCAATGTCACGAACCACGTCTCACCTGTGTAGCTTCACCACGTAAGCCAATGTAATATATTTGAGTGGAATCACCTCCAAAATTATCAGGAAAATGCAGTGTGAGGCTACCCACACTTTGGAATCGAGAGTACCTGGAAATTAATCAACAAATTCAATTTCAGAAATCTTCTTTCATCCTTCACAGAGTACAATATACTGTTGTAACATCTGAAACATTTCAGACAACAAAAGCATCACATTTGGTTCAAGCTGTAGAAATTTATCTCATGAATCTCATGAAAGCCAGTAAAACATAATGCCCAAACTTTATTTTGTAAATAGCTATTCTACATCGATCACAGTTTCAAACTACACAAAAAAAATGCTTGTGTTGATTATGAATCCACTGTTACAAAGTGCCATAGTGTAATCTATACATAATTTATAAATGTGACCATAATTGCAGACTAGAAGTTTAGTATGCCAACTTCTACAGATCATGGTTTACAGCACAGGGATAGGAAATGCGTATGGGTAGGGGTAGGTTAAGTCACAAGGCGTTAGACTTGTGCCCTCAAAGTGCAACCCATGATGCATCTTTCTACCGCAATATAATTGTCAAAAGAAAGAAAAAACAAATTGAAAAGAAAATGCAGTGATCCAAAATAATAAGAGAACTAAGAAATTTAGGAGAAGAGCAATCATTGTAACATTACATCATTCTTGCACAACAGCAACGACATATTATGAACATGAGGTACAATAGTGACACAGGAAAGAAAGGTGACAAATTGAATCGACCCTTTTCCTGAACCTTAAACAAGTAAAATCAGCAATAATGGATAAAAAGCATCACTGCAAATCAAGCCAAATGAAGTTTCATAAAATAAAATTCATTCCCATAACATATCCGTTACAAAATATGACATCCAACCTTTTATAAGCCTATGAAACTCTAATTAAACTTGAGATCCAAATAAACATTTAAAACTCTAAAATACCCCTAAACAATACTAAAATTTCAAAATACCTCTGTGAACAGTAATGTGTGAACAATATCATGAATAGTAAATAGAGAAAATACAAAAAAACCCTAAAATCCCAAGAAAAAAATACAATCCTAAAACTAAAACGAAAATATACATCCTTTAATATTGAATATAAATTAAAAATAAGTATAACTTTTCCCTCCATCAAATAGGCACACTTTCTCCAGTGGCCACATTGTCTAGTACCCTGCAACATGGTTTAGCATTTAACAAAGTAGACAATCCCAATGATCTTCGCACACGATCTGGCAGGAAGCAAAGGCCCCACAAATCTTAAATTAGCTGTACAAGCTTGACGTACATCCTGAAACAACTCCAATCAGCGCATAAAGATATCAGTAAAAAATATAATATTTCTTGAATGAAAACTCAGCCCTCTCATAAGGTTGATTTCATTATCTACTCGTTCTCGATATCCATACAACAATGCTTCAACATCACCAATGTTACTGCAAGAATAGTCGTAAGAGTGAAGGTCATCCAGCCATCCCAGAAATCTTGTAGTAAATCAGGTGTCAAACATCGGTAGCATTCCAGATAAGCAAATATAAGCACAAAGTTTTTTCTCCAGAATCATTCAAGTGCTCGAAAGATACCGCAGTATTCAGGCTTCGGCTTGACAATCAAGGTGTTGACAATCGCAGAACTACATCTCAAGACCGACCCCCACCTTAGTCTAGATTCATAAGGTCAACTCTTAACATTATTCTAAACAATAAAAGCTTTCAGTTCATGTTCTGATCACCAACGACCTTATAGGTCTGTTCTTATACAAGGGCATTGTGGTGCATACCGCTAACTCTTCTCAAATTCGATAGTTAGGTACAACGAATGCATTAATGAGCAGCCGTGTAAGTGACAGGTAAAGCTTGTATGATAAGGCTGTTAAGACCCAAACACAGAATCAGCTTAGAGTTTCACTCTCTTATAAGGGCCCCTCAGGCGAAAAGGTGGCGATGGTGGTTGTACCCTCCCGAGGTGATAAATACCTCAAACTTCTATTTCCCTAGAAATATCGCATTCTAAACAAAAATTGGGAATTTCTCAAGATAGGGGAGAATTTTATTTCCCAAGAGAGACTCAGAACTAAATCTTTGGTTCAACACTCCAAACTTCATGGAAGTTCAGAAGAAAATTTTTGGTATATGTAGAGCTAATTGTGTCTTACCAAACACTACATTGGAGTGATTTCATATTGTGATCCTCATTCCGAAAAATTTGCCCACTAACAATAAACAAATCAATCTGGAGCAGGGGTACATCAGCACATATATTCAACCATTGAAAAATAGAAAAAGTAGATATTAGTTGTAACTTTTTATAAAATCCAGAAAAAGCATCTATCAGAATAAGAAAAACCTCACGCGTATTACAAGGAATGTTGCACTTCATAGACCTCATGCTCGAGGAGATACAGATGGCAGAGGTGCTAAAACACTTGCATATTTTCTTTTTAGCCAAAGGCTGGTCCACTCATTCCTGGGAAGTTCCTACAAATGAGTTGGCAAGATTGGGCTCTGCTAGATTCACAATCACTTTTCTAACCTTGCTGAGTTTAATGGCTCAAAAAATAATCTGTCGGCATGTCTATAGCAGAAATTGTGTTCCACAAAAGTCACCCAAGCATACATTAGGGAAGATGATTGTTTCACAAGCAATGTCTTACAATGATACAGTTTTCTTCCATAAGGCGATGTTTGGGCCACTAGTTACAATCAATATTTCGACACCTGTTGACTTAAAACTCAACTGCTTCGACTCGATTCAGCAACCTCGCAAGCCTTGGAGTTTATCCTAGAACACACTTGAGTCTTTGCTATTCATTTTTATATTTTCACTAGACTTGGCTAAGTCTTATTTAGAATATATTAAGTCAACTCAAAAAGACGTGGCTGGGGACCATGCATCACACAAAACTTCTAAAAAAACACATCATTAGGTTCAAGTCCTGGCATATCAAAGAAAGCTTCCCCAATGTAAACACTTTACAAGGCATCCAGGAGTTCCACACTGCCGCAAAACTTTCAGGTGCAATATTTTAACACATTAAATCAATGATCAGTGGGAGATAGTTCCAATTAAGGAGCTGAAGACAGAAAACCACGAGTAGGATTATAGAACTTCCATATTTAAGGTTGACTTTTTGAAAGGCTCAAAAAGGGCAATGTGTAGGCCCAAAAGGACATGGTTGGAAGTAGTGAGAAAATATAGTAGACTTACGGCATTACTGAGGGTATGGTCCTTGACAGAGTAGAATGGTGGACCAAGATTCGTATAGCCGACCCCAAATAGTTGGGAAAAGACTCTAATGGCGATGGTGAAGACGATAAAGGAAACCTATCGGGAGGTAAGAAACTATTTCCTGCTCTTAGGACAAAAAGTGACATACAAAATCTAAAAGCTTCAAGTAAAAAGGCACTTGAATGCAAAGATCATGTCCATAGGTAGTTGGGAACGGATCATGGAAAAAGACTTTAATACAATTAATGACCTCTTCTGATGCCAAATCCTCATTATCACATGCCAGTAGTACCCATCAATTTGTGTAGAAGCAGAGGTAGTGCTACACTGCTACTTGGTCATATTAAACTTCTTACGGTGAATGGAGATTCATTGGTAGAAACAGATATCTTATTTTCGTTTTCTCAAAAATCTTGAAATAGTTTTGATTTGAAATTCGGCACTCTTTATATTCTATTAGCCAAAAGAGTGATTAGTTTTCTTAAGTATATGACGCCAAAGAAAGACTTCTGTAAGTCCAAATATCAAAGTCAGATAAAGCTTGTTCCTCCAGATCAAGACTTATTATATGAAGAAACTACATAACCTCAAAACAACCTCAGGTAGGAAATCTTTAACTTAGTGGATTCAATGGTGGATTCATGAGCATCATGAGTAAAATAACTCTCTACAATATGGTGGACTCCATACCACCAAGAATTTGTCTTAGTAAATTGTCGATTCTTTGTCATGAGATATCAGAGATAGAAAAGACATGAATAACATTTTGCAAATCAAAAAAGAAAAAAATGTAGCATAATCAGAATATAGTGATTCTCACCAGTAATATCAACAATTGTTAGCAGTATGATAATTTCAAAAGGATTTTTGGTTACCTGGTCTGGTACTCCAACATCCCTTGCAAATTTTCCGCCAATTCCCACTCCTTCAACATCAACAACAAGAACTTTAAGGAACATGTCAAAAAAGAAAACTAAATTCATAACTACCATGGGACTGGTAAGTGAGTGAGTGATGTAACCTGAAGTGGAGTCATATCTTGAGCATCTGAAAAATCTATATTATCCCGATTGATGAACCTAAACACATATATTAGGATTATAATAATTGTTTTTAAAAAAATGGACTGTTGGAAGAGCAGTCGCAAAGAGATGATAAACTAAAGTGCTTCAAATAACAGAATAATCTCCTCTGGACAACACTGAATGTAAAAGAATTAATTTAATCCAATGGAATATGCATGAGCAACAGAAAATTCAATAATTCAAACAACATACGAAGACAAAATACACCTATTTATCAGCCAAAAGCATTTAAACCAATGTAATATGCACATGGAAGAATTACATCCAGAAACACTTCTAGTATGGTACAAATCTAACAGGAAAAATCATCAATCACAATGATACAGCTTTGAGATTTCAAAGGCTTTTCTCAGATACCGAGCAGGAGACCAGAAGAACATGATGCTCCTCCTATCATCTTTTGCAAAGTTCATTAATACAATTAATAAAATGTGCAATATATGTGATGCGGCTCAAATATATATGTCACCAAAAGAATGCCCAAAAAGAAGCACCTTAAGGACAGCCAGAGAGTGCTTATCAAAAATATAAATATCTAAAAGTGGCCACAACAGCAAGCACAACCTTAAAAGCAATACTCAGTTTCGCAAAATAGATGATCAGAAATTTTCGGAAACTCTACTTAGTTAAACTCCACAATGGACCATATCTCGACTGTACTCTTGACTCGTTAAAGGAACTCCCAGAATTCAGACTCCAATACAATCCATGAATCATAAAAGTGAAAGCCCAATTCACCATGTTCCCGTGGAAAAGATTCAAACAAAAAAAATACAGATAACTCAAGGTATATCACAGGAACAACCAAAACAAACATGAAAACTGGCAACAATATTCTTAAAAATATACAAATAGAAATAGAAATAGAAATACATATATATGGATTTTCTACATATATATGAATTTTCCATTTACATAGATCACAAACTTGACCTGGTTGAACCGTACTTGCCAGGTCTACCAGGCTAGGTTTCAAACCAGGTCAAATCGTTCCTTAACCTGCCTTATGGCACGGCCAGTATGGCTGAGTCAAATCAGGACCCATTTGAACTGCCGGATATCTCCGGATTGAACGAGTTGAGTTGTTTTTTTTTTTTTGTATAACAAACAAGATTTATCTCTTTAGTACACAAATTCCGTTTGTTAACACTTTAACAACTAAACATAAGCAAGAAATAATTTTAAAATAATTCAATTTTTTTAAGGGAAAATTTCTCAGTACACCCTAATTTGATGTATCATTTCCTAGGAGACCCACATTAGAAAAGTATCTAGCAGCATTAGATTTTCAATAAAGCTATTTCCTAAACCCCTATAGCCTATTTTATGACATTTTCAAATCCCAAACAGATTTTGCAATGACAGTCTCTCTCTCTCTCT